TCATTATTAATTAATTATAACTAAAAATAACAATTAAATTATAATTAATTTAATCAATTATAATTAATTATTATTAATCATAATTAATTAATAATTAACATAATTAATTATAATTAAATCTAATTTAATTATACTTAATTATATTAAATAATAATTATAATAAATATATATAAAAAAAAACACCTCCCTCTCCCCCTTTCGGTTTCACGGGATCAAGCCGAAGGAGCGCGCGAATGGGAGAAAGATACCTTCACGGCAAGTGAGCTCCTGTTGTTTGCTTCCGATCAGAACAGGAAGGAGGGAGATGGAGTCGGCCGAAGCAAGGGAGGAGTTCGGCAAGTTCGGCCAGGTAGAGTTCGATTTCTCTCCCTTTCTCTTTCTCTCTCTCAGCCGACGGGTATGGGAGGATCGGAAGAGCTGCGTGAGGTCGGGATCAGGGCAAAGACAGAGGAGATCGGGTGAGAGGTAAGGAGTTCTCCTCTCTCTCTCTCTCTCTCTCTCGGCTTAGGGTCGGCACAGGAGGTGGTTCGGCTGTGGAGTTCCGAACAGGAATTCGGTTGAAGACGTCGGAGCAGCCGAGAGGAAAAGCAGGGAGTAGCGACGGGATTGAGTGGATCGGACGGGAGTTGGGGAGAGAGCTTCGTGCGAGAGGAGAGCAGAGTCGAGAGTGGGATCTCTGCTTCTATTTAACGACGCAAATGATGTAGCGATCGAGGAGCTGTCGCAGGAATAGCGGAGAATCGACTGGAGCGGCGCCGTTTGCAGCAGGATTTCGGCAGGATTTCAGGCGAATTTCACGGATCCGCCGGGTGCAAAGTTTGTACGCGAGATTTTTTTTGTTTTATTATTCTGAGGTTAACAGTTTAAAATGACCTCTACATCCTTTTTTATCAGGTCTAGTGGAATGACATGGAATAAGTCTTTTGCTAGCCATGGATTTTGTCATCTCAGGACAAATTATCTCCACAGGAGATTTGATTTGCACTTTGGGGATATTATTTAGAAAAAAAAGGCTTGAGAAGCTGAAGACATGGTTGACTTACAAAATATAAATAACATTCAAGGTACAGCCTAGGTGTGGTTCATTAGAAAGCAGACCTGAGCCTACTCGCATAATTGAGTCTTAGAATCTTTCATGTAGTATTTTGCAAGTGTTGATGCCATTGTCGTATTTGGGTTAATATTATTTTATTTTGATAATTTATGAGGACAATTGTTATGGTATTTATCCTTACCGATACATAATTTCTCCGAAGTAAGCATCTATATTTCGAAAGAAATGGATCCACTTAAATACTTTTCTTTTATTTCCAAATGTCATGCCAGATGATTTTCTTAAGAATTTTTTTCTTTTTTCTAGCGCGAAAAAAAGATAATTTTATCTTGTTCTTCAAATTATATGTTTCATTTTTATTTTCTATGTGAAAGAGTCAAATTGTTGGTGAAATTGAGTTCTGAGCTTGACGTCCTGGCCATGTAAAAAACATAATGCATAAGGACTCTAATTTGCACCATCTGGAAGGCAATCATTTGGTTGTTCCTATTGATCAATCACTCTGGCTCTTTATCATTAAATTGAACTCCTTCATGAATCTTAATTTATAGGAATTTAGAACTTCACTGTTACAGTGGTGTTGATTTTAGATTGTCAAAATCTCATCTATTTATAAATTTCTAATATGATTTGGTCAGCCCAGTGACGAATAACTGCTCTAAATTCCTGATGTTATGCAATTAAGCTATACCTTCTCGGTATGATTTCTGAATTTGAGTGGAAATCTCATTAGAAGGATACCTAAAATGCAATAATGTGAAACAAATGTACCTTTATTTGTCACCTGTTTCTAGAACATTTAACAGACGAGCTTTTAATATAAAATTTTGCTCTACTTAGTTCAATGATTTCTTAAAGAACAGTTTTTTTTTTTATTTTTTTTTATTTTTTTTTATAGACGAGAAACCTTATTGGGTATACAGAACCACAATAAATTCTTTTGATTTATTTTGACGTATTTACACCAAGCTTTGCTATTGCAGATTTTTGGGACGCCAAAAGATCATCGAAAAGCCAAACCATTTCATGACCATATATTTGCATTTTCAATCGTTGACAATCATATATGGTTTCGGAATTTCCAGGTAATGTTGTCCTACAGGTACATTTTTTGTATTTATTGCTCGTACAAATTAATCTCGATTCAAGTTGTGCTTTTGGCGTAAGGTGGAACTTCTTCTCACATCATATAAATCCATGAAATTATCTATTGAGTGAAGTCTAGTAATTATCAGTAATGCATAGCACAATAAGATTGCAGCGCCTTTCTATCTTTTCCAAGTGTTCGTTAGATAATTGTATGGAAAGCTAATTAAGTTCCTGAGATCAAGCATTTATCGATTTTTACTGAGGTGGTTTTCTTTAACTGGAAATGCAAATGGAATGTTTTTGTAAAGCATAAATATTTGTGGTTGCAAGTCTTCGTTTACATTTACAAAATGAGTCGATTTGACATTTTTCCAACATTCTAGGTATCTGTTCCTCATAACGAGACTGATAAAATGGATCGCGGAGGCTTGGATAAAATGACTCTCATTGAGGTATATACCCTTGCCTTTTAAGTTTCTCTTCATTTTTTGTCCTTGGCTGGGTTTTAACATAAATGCCATTTCATAAAGGTTGGTCCAAGATTTTGTCTGAATCCTATCAAGATTTTTGGAGGAAGCTTTGGTGGACCAACTTTATATTCAAACCCGCTTTACATATCGCCAAATCAGGTATGTTTCAATTCTACCTTATTTTTTGGGGACATTTAGGCCATTTAAGGCAAATTCACACACAACACATACATAAAGACTCGAACCCAAGACATCTTCACAACCAACAGACCAAACTGAGCTGTGTTCAATTATAGCATATA